CTCCCTCTGCCCCACTCCCCACTCATGCTCTCTGTCTCTCTGTCTCTCTCTCTCTCTAATAAACAAATAAAATCTTTTAAAAAATCAATTTTGTTGTTTGGTTAAAAAAAAAAAGGGAGGGATCCCTGGGTGGCGCAGCGGTTTGGCGCCTGCCTTTGGCCCAGGGCGCGATCCTGGAGACCCGGGATCGAATCCCACATCGGGCTCCCGGTGCATGGAGCCTGCTTCTCCCTCTGCCTATGTCTCTGCCTCTCTCTCTTTCTCTCTCTGTGACTATCATAAATAAATAAAAATTTAAAAAAAAATTTAAAAAAAAGGGAAAGACTGAAAAGAATCCAATAAGAAAACCAACACTCTTACTTCTTTATCCAACACTCATTCCCACCACCACTAAAACATCTTAAGTTCCTCCCAACCTTTGCAAATATCTCTGGAGCTCACCTTATCTACAGGTATGGCCCAGACCCCCACTTCATTGCAAATTCAGACTTCTTGAAAATGCTACTTCTATTCTCTATCTTCCAACTGACAACTCAACATAGCAACAGTATTAATCTTCTGTAATTAAAGTTACTAGCAGCTGCTGAAGACAATAAAAACTTTGGGCACATATCAGTCTTTGTCCTGATGACCCTTACAGCCAGTTTTATATTTGGCACATACTGTTTGCTTCTTGAAACCTTCTTTATTTGACTTCCATAAAGTTGCACTGTCTTCAGTGTCTTTATACCTCTATGACTATTCCTTCTCAGGTAAAATAGAATGTTATCTCAAGCCCATTTTGAAACAAGGAGAAGTACAGGCTTATATTTGTGATGGAGTATTTAAATGATGGCATCATGGAAGGATTAGTTTTGTAACCTGAAGTAAGTTCTCTTCTCTGGACTGAATTTTTTCTATAAATACAGAAGGCTTAGCCTGATGACCTATGAGTATTTTTTTTTAATTTTAATTTATGATAGTCACAGAGACAGAGAGGCAGAGACACAGGCAGAGGGAGAAGCAGGCTCCATGCATCGGGAGCCCGACATGGGATTCCATCCCAGGTCTCCAGGATCGCGCCCTGGGCCAAAGGCAGGCGCCAAACCGCTGCACCACCCAGGGATCCCCGACCTATGAGTATTGATAAGGATTTGCTGGAGCTTATAGGGGAAGACAAAGGCCTCTGACATCATATCCATGCACAAAGTCCCTGGGAACTCTGACAATGTCCCCTATTGAGCAGGACTGAGGAAGGTAGCATTTACTGATAAGCTAAGAAAGGACAATGCCTTTTGTGACTTCAGCTAACCCCTGGCACATACAATCAAGGAAGGCATATATGAGAAACCCAATTCAGCTCTCAGTCAAGGCTCTTCTGGCAAAACAAAGTATACTATCTTTTTCCTTTCTCTGCTCATTTTTGAGAACTAAATAGCTATGATGGGACTCAGTGGTAAGTGTAGGAGGTGGGCTTGAGGAAAAGCTAGTCAAGGAGAATGGCTTTTAAGGATATTCTGGGTGCTAGCAGAGAACCTATTCAGGCACATATTCTTCTCCCCGATGGGAATGAATCCTGCTGCTGCAACCCAAGCCACAACCCTTTGGGGGAACATCATGAGTTGGTGGGGAGCAAGTGGGAGGGGTAAGAGATGGAAGGGAACTTTGGAGATTATTGAGGCCAGACATTCTTATTATTAATTACCAGATGGATTATACAGATTTCCAAACAGAACAGGGTCCACACTATTCTGGACAAAAAAGGCAGACACGAGGTTGGCTCCAAAGGCAGTTATTATATCCCAACTTTAAAGTAGGTATATGTTCAGCCCAGGGTGTGATCCTGGAGACCCGAGATCGAGTCCCACATCGGGCTCCCTGCATGGAGCCTGCTTCTCCCTCTGCCTGTGTCTCTGCCTCTCTCTCTCTGTCTCTCATGAATAAACAAGTAAAATCTTATAAAATAAAATAAAATAAAATAAAATAAAATAAAATAAAATAAAGCAAGTATATGGCAATGATCATTATCAGACAGAAAATCCTAATCAAGAACAAGGGCATAGTCTAAGGGCAGTGACATGCCAGACTAATATCAAGGTAGAGAATCACTCAATCATATACCATAAGGCAAACACCAAGATAGATCCCAAGATAGTGACTGTATCCAACCCAACAGCAAGTACATGACAATCATAATAAGTCATACCATCTTAATCAAGTTGAAGGATGGGGCCAATATATAAATCACATGTACACAGCACTTAGGCATAGACACAATCCCACATGTGTGTGTGGTCTTCTAGATTCCCAAGAATTCCCACGAATTCCCATGAACAGGATAGAAAGCTTTAAAACCTCCTAGACATCTCATTCCCCACTTCTTTTTATGTTTTTTGGTCAGCCTTTCACTAGCTCCAATTGGTCTCACTGTCTGAAGATGCCATAATGCCAAACAAATTGACTCAGGGAGAGGACTGACCACAAAGAAAAGCTCTGAGTTGGGTGAAATAAAAAAGACTCTTTTTATGAAATTGCCTGGTCAAATTGTGACAATTTCTTGGTGATAGACTTTTTGAGTAGCATCAAAGGCACTCTGTACTTTGGTGGCAGCTATGCTGCCCGTTTTCACACCTCCTGCAATGCAAGCCTGCTGCCCTCAAGGCTACCTCCCAGCCAGGAAGAAAGGGATGTGAGTGGGGCACGTCAAATTGCCACAAAGCTCTTTCTTCTTGCTGAGATGCACCTGTTCCTCTTGAATAAGGAAGGATTATTCCTTCATGGATTGTTGGAAGCCTTGGGTAAGTTCTAAAGTTCTGAAAAGGTTGATTTTGACAATATTTGTTAGTATTCTAACAGCTTTTATGGAGGAGTAGCTCTTTATCATTTTGTAGCAGGGATTTTATAGAGGCTTGCTATCAAAGGAACTCAGTGAACTTCTAATCCTGTACCATTATAGTCTTCTATCATTAATAGATACATGATTTTTTACATATTCTGCTGATGTGGAGATGATCATAGGATTTCCCCTTTATTTATTAGTAAGAGTATTCCACTGGCTGACTTTTGAATTTTTTTTAATTTTTTTTATTTATTTATAATAGTCACAGAGAGAGAGAGGCAGAGACACAGGCAGAGGGAGAAGCAGGCTCCATGCACCGGAAGCCCGACGTGGGATTCGATCCCGGGTCTCCAGGATCGCGCCCTGGGCCAAAGGCAGGCGCCAAACCGCTGCGCCACCCAGGGATCCCCACTGGCTGACTTTTGAATGTTAAACCAACCACATATGATTGAAATAAGTCCCCACTTGTTTATGATGCGTCACCGTTTTTATATATGACAAAATTCACTGGCTAATATTTTCCTTAGGGTTTTTGCCTTACATCTATAATAAGATTGACATATAGTTTCCTTTGCATGTCATACCTTTGTCATGTTTTGGTAGCATAAAACTGCAGTGAATATCAAGTTTCTTTAAAAATAAAAAGGTCAAAAAAAAAAGAAAGGTCATGAGTGGGCATGTGGGACTGCAAACAAAAATCTTGAGAATAAAAATGCAGACACTTTTATGTTATTTGCCTGCTAAACCCATTGGAAAGAATCTTTTTTTTTTTTTTCTAAATGAGGACAGAAACTTCACAGAGGATAGGCCAAGCTAGAGCTAAAAAGGAAGATGCACAGTGGAAAAATGCCAGGAGGTAGCTATGAGATAGCACTGCAAAGAAAGGAACAGGTGTAAAGAGTTGCGGCTCCAGGGACTGACCCTTTTCAGCAGCTCTGTCTCCCACAGCTGGTGCCGATTCTCCTGTGAGCATCCAGACACCTGTTTCTTCCCATTGCTTAAGATGGGTATGTTCTTTGCCACCAAGCAAGCAGAAACAACACAGACTTTTATGGGAGGGCAGGGAGAGCTAGCAGGGTCTTGGGGCCTGGGCTTCACGTTCCAAAGGGACCTCCAGTTAGATCGTATCAGCAAATGAAGTTTATACAAAGTCATGGAGGCATAAAGACAGGAGTTAAGGCACAAAACATCATACGACTTCCAGCTCTGCCTCTGGTGCCCGACGCATTGATGGTCTCTGTAGGTCTAGATAGCATCTTGCTAACAGCTCATTTTCTTGCCTTGTCTTTGTGCCTGTGTGCGCTTCATAGGTTCATCTTTTCAAAGTAAGCTCTTCGAATGTACCCATTTCTGAAATCTGCTGGGGGAGGGGGTGGGCTTTATTTATTTATATATTTTTAAGATTTTATTTATTTTGGGGGGAGAGAGAGTGTGCACAGGAGCAGGGGGAGGAGGGGCAGAGGGAGAAGCAGATGCCCCCTGAGCAGGAGACTCTACGTGGGGCTGGATCCCAGGACCCGGTGATCGTGGCCTGAGCCGAAGGCAGGGGCTCCAGAGGGCTGGGCTTTAAATTGTTCCGGACACTTAGCGGAGTTTATCTGACCTAAGGATCTGCCCTGGGAAAATCGGTTCTCTTATAAGGCTTCAAAATCCTCTCCGTAAAGCAAGAAGTATTAAGGGCCAGGCCAGCCCCTTCCCTCCAATGCGCCCGGGGTACTGCAAGGCCTCCCCTGGAGCGGGGCTGGGGGCGGGAAGGAAGCCCCCGCCTTTTCCAGGTGGGAGGGAGGCACCGGTGACCTCGGACCCCGGGGGTCACAGCGCCCCCTGCCGGCGGGCCCCCGCCAGAGGCGATATAAGCCAAGAATCCCCGCGCACCTTGCGCACAGGCTCGGCGCGATGGAGCTGCTCCGCCCGGCGGCGCTCCCCGCGGTCCTCCTCCTCCTCCTCCTCCTCGGCCTCCCCTCGGCGCAGCCCTGGGGCTGGGGGCGGCGGAAGGGTGCGTGTCCCCGGGCGCAGGGGGCCCGCGGGTGGCCGGGGGGGGGGCTCCCTTCGTGCCCGGCCACGACGCCCCGGCGCCCCCAGCTCACCCTGTGGCCTCTCTCCTCAGCTGTGCAGAAGCCTGGATATTGCCCGGAGTTTACACATGAGTGCCCTTTCGTCCTCTTACCTCTGTGCTATGGTGACAGAGGTTGCAAGGCGGACCGCAAGTGTTGCTTCTACAACTGCAGGCGGCAGTGTATGGAGCCCTGGCTCAGCCTAGACTGAGGTGAGAGCCCCCCACTCCCCCCAACAGCCGCCCTCGGGCTGCGCCGGGAATGTTCCCGAAGAACAAGGTGTCCTGGCACTGACACTGCTCTTAGAAGTCCTTGAGATCAGAGCTCTTCCCAGCTGGGGTGGGCCTTGAGATTGGGCTTGCCTGCCCAGGTGGGCCTGCCCAGGGCCCCTTCCTCAAAAGGGCACACAAGTCCACCTCGTGTGACGGGCACCAGAATGATGGGGCCATTCGGACAAGATGATCCACAAGATTATCCCTCGACTGTTACTGAATTTTTATTGTGTTCAACTGCCATTGTTTTTTTCTTACAGCTTATGATAATGAATCACTTTCATCTCCACATTTCAACTTCCAGGTAAGAGGATTGTAAGATTCTAATTCCTTAGGATGGCCCTTCTTAGAATTCCCTGTCCCCTGTTCCTGATTCCTGGGCAGCACATCTGGGCGCTCCTGGGACGAGGGTACCCAGCAGGATGCAGACCAGGGTGGTCTTGGGACCCAGTGAATATCCTCCTGCCCTCTGCACCCCCCCACCCCCACCCCTTTGCACCTTCTCACATCTGAGTCCCTCCTCTCTCCCCAGGTAGAAACCCCTTCTTAACCAGACCTGAGAAGACCCATCCGACAGGCTCAGACCTGGATAACTGATCCCCAGTTCTTCCTCCAGGCTCTCCTCACTCACCAAACGTCCTTTTATGGAGAGTTAAATGCTTATTAACATGAAAGAATGCAAAGAAATAAAGTGTGGGGATCCCTGGGTGGCGCAGCGGTTTGGCGCCTGCCTTTGGCCCAGGGCGCGATCCTGGAGACCCGGGATCGAGTCCCGCGTCGGGCTCCCTGCATGGAGCCTGCTTCTCCCTCTGCCTGTGTCGCTGCCTCTCTCTCTCTCTCTCTCTCTCTCTCTCTCTGTGACTGTCATGAATAAATAAATAAAATCTTTAAAAAAAAAAAGAAAGAAAGTGTGACTTATTTAAAACTACATGAAAATCTAAGACTGTTGGATATCCACCCGCCACCCTGCCCTTTCTCTGTCTTCTGCCTTTTGGGGGGATCCTTTAGAGTTTGTAAGAAGGGAGCAGGCTACCCTTTTATATTTAATTTTGGCTGGTTCTTGACTTCTCGTTTTCTGATATGTTTCTCACTCTCAATGTCTCCTGACCCTCAGATTTTCTGTTGGTCAGGTTCCAGGGGCATGTTTTTGAGTCATATCTTCTGTGTGTGGATCCTGTGAACGGTAGCTCCATTACCTGGAGATGGAGGATGAAGCTTTTCTGCTACATTGTCTGTGGTACTGCTGTGGCCGCCTTAACACTTGGAGTAGGATGGTCTAGGGCCAGGTCCGGAATTTAGGGCTGGAAGTGGAGCAGGCCATGCCTTAGTTCTAAGTTATGACATTAGGGTCAAAAATTTAGGCCCATCATCAATCAGGAAAAGGAAAAGCTCTGACCCAGGTTAGGTACCTTAGTTGAGTCTTAGTTTGGGGGTTGAGTCCCTAGTCTACCTAATAATGAAATGTTATTTAGCCTGGCGTCTTCTCACCTCTTGCTATGTGATTCAGCCTTAATTAGGGGTCACACAAGGGTTTCAGGTCTGGGAGAGTGATCTTTAAAAAATTTATTTTTCTTTGACACGTATACCTGAAACAAATTTTTGTAAAGGTACTACTGCCTAGAAGGTTTTCAGCTGACATTTTGTCGTTGTTTATACGACCACAAGTGCTAAAATTTTAGGCATGTGATGAAAATTGTCATTTAAATATGGGGCCTCACTCTAATTTTTAAAGTGTCTAAAGGAATTTAATTACTATCTTCATTCAATAGTCATATGTATCAGAGAAAAAACTTGTTCTTTCTTTTCTGACACTCTTGTGCCTCCCCGCTTTTTTTCCCTTCACTGCCTGAATAATTCAAGCCCCAGCAAATAGATGCTCATGTTCTTTGGAGCCTCTGAAAAGCAGGTGTCAAGATGATATTAGATCATCAAGAGTCTATCAGGGGAAATGCCAAGGGAGGAGTCAGTGGGAGAGCCATCAGGCCATGAGGTAGGCTGCCTGCCTCGCAGGAGGAGGGTGAGGTGGAGGAAGTTCCAGAAGACAGGGCAATATAGAAGGTCAGCCATGCCCACAGAGAGTGCCTGAATGAGTGTCACCTGCCACCCGAGTCCTGTGTCTCTCTGAATAATAGGTCAGAAATGGCTAGCTTGGGGGTGACCTCTTCTTTTTCTCCTAAGTCAGGAGTTCAATCAAGTCCTTCCATTGGGCACAGCAAGAAAGGGAATTGAGGCAAACACTGAGGGCTCCGTCTGGGGGCCTGTCCAAACTACCTGAAACCATCCCTTGACTAAACAGCTCTGTCTGCCATATTCCGTCTGTCTGTCTGTGAACCCACTGCTCACCCTCATGCTCTACATCTCCTTGTGCTCTTATTCCTCACCTCGTTCCCTTTTGATGGCTATCTGCATTTCTTTTAGGTTCTGGCTCATTTTAATCTTTATTACTGTATCTTACTATCTTCCCCCCCCTCTGTCTCCCTACCCTTTGTCTCTAACTCTCAGTTTTCATCATAAGGTTTCCAGATGTTTATCTTTATTTTCTCCCTCTCTCTTTCTGTCATTCCTTGTTCTGTGTGTCTGTCTTTCCCGGGGGCCAGGAACACCCGAATGTGAGCCCTATGCATAGTTCCCTCCTTAGCCAGTGACTCTCATTGCCTAGCTATGAGGCTGTCTCTGGCACTGTCCCCTGGCCCTTGTCTGCGTCATGACTGCCCCCCATCCCCGCCACCTTCCTTTTGGCTTCTGGGGACTCGTCTCACTTCCTGAGAAGATGGGCTCTTGTGCCCCCGACTGTTGCCAGGTGTGTCAGCCCTCGGGTTTGTGCTAGGGTGACCAGCCATGCTCAGAGAAGCAGCAATGTTGGCCTACTGCTTATTGTATAAGGTACAGAAATCCTACAAATGTTCCAAACCTGAGTGAGAAGGTTCTGTCTACAAGGAAGGGGCCAAAGGCTGAGACTGAGGACAGAGAGTCTTGGGGTGCTACAGGACTCCTTCTGAAGCTGGCTGGGGACAAAGCCTGGCTCTGCCTCTGCTGCTGCCAACTTAGTAAATCTTCTTGATGGCTTGTGGACTGAGGGTCACCTACCATTCAGTCCATCAGGGGGGCCACTGGATTAAAGGCATCAGGCCTTCCTTTATGAGACTTTTCAGCCTCAGTTTGGATCCTGGGGGCAGGGGAGAGGGATTGGCTTCTAGGGAGAAGGGTGAGGTGAGGCTGGGGTCCCCGACAGCAGGAGAGTCTTGAGTTCTGGACCTGATCTGTTCAGTTCAGGTGAAGCCTGGGAAGTCTTCAGTGGTGAAAGGCACTTGTAGGATGCCCAACCCTCCAAACTTATGCAAAAATGGTGCTCTGGGTTGGCACAGCCTAAAGTAGTACAAGGGCAAGAGCAGAAAGCGGCATATTGTCCCTGAGGAAGGTAAGATGAGCTAGGCTCAGATGCAGGACCTACTGGACATCACCCTCCCCAGCGTGGCCTAAATCCACTGGCGCTCTGCAGGGTGGGGGTGGGGGGGCCTGCCTCACATACAACAGCTGGCAGCACCTCTGCCTTTCAACACCACCTTCTGCTGTCCTCCAGGCACAGAACCTACCTACAGTATCTCCTGCCCCAGTGCTTTTCTGCCTGAATCTCTCTGACCTGGGCCCTGGGAGGAAGAAGCTGGGTGAAGACCTAGGTTTAAATGTCAGCTTTGCCTCTGACTTGCTATTGCCTCAGGCAGGTGGCCTACCTCTCTGAGACTCAGTGACACTCGGTTTCTTCACTATTAAAATGGACATAACAATGTCCTTCAAGGTAACAGTGGTGCAGGGAATTTGTATGCTATAAAGGACTTGTACATGGAGGGCTGTTGGTATGGTTATTCCCCATGTTGAATAGATTCTAGTTTAATACCAAAGGACAAACCCAATAGGACCACCAGAATATAAAGAGCAACTTGGATTAGTCCAATGGCCAGATTTTACAGATGGGAAAACTAAGGCCCTGATGCAGTGAAAAGTCAGGATTTGAACTCAGTGTCCTGACCTCATGAAAAGTGCTCATTTAACTATGCCACCATCATTCTCTATCTCTGCCTGACCTAAGGCAATTCTGGGAACTAGTGGCTAGGGGTGCCTATGGACTTGGAGGTCAACTGGCTAGTTCTATCACTATAGCTCTGACCTGCTTTTCTCTCTGCAGACTAATCTCTGGTGTAAGTGGTCTCTGAATTCTCTTTCCCCACTAAGCCCCAAAACTTCCAAAGCTCCTTGATGAAGACATGGTTTTATCACCAGTACCTTCTCTGGGTTCATATTTGGCCTGATTCACCTGAGTATCCTTAGCAGTCAAGACAGGACTTGCATACAGTAGACACTCTGGAAATGCCTATTGGTTAGAAAATGAATAAGTAAATGTGTTTCTTCTTCATAACCAGTTTCATTGATCTAGTGGTTGGGTGGAAGAAGTGAGTGGCAAGACATCTGCCTGTGCAGCCTCCCTGCAAAAGCATGGGGAGTGTAAAGGACAAGGAGCAGATACCTTAGAAATAAATTTGACCAGGGAAGGGAAAGATCTGTACACTGCAAACTACAAGACACTGATGGAAGAGATTGAGAAAGACACAAACGGAAGGATATCTTGTGTTCATGAGTTGGAAGAGTTAATATTGTTAAAATGTTAAAATATTGTTAATATAGTTAAAATAAAATACTCTCTGAGGCCATCTACAGATTCAGAACAATGTGTATCAAAATTCCAATGGTATTTTTCACGGAGATGGAAAAAACAATCCTAAGATTCCTATGGAAGCACAAAAGACCCTGAAGAATCAAAACAATCTTGAGAAAGTACAAAGCTAGGGGCATCACCCCTCCTGATTTCAGACTATTCTGTAAGGTCACAGGGATAAAAACAGCATATTGCTGGGGTGCCTGACTGGCTCAGTCGGTGTAATAAGCGACTCTTGATCTCAGGGTCATGAGTTTGAGCCTCACACTGAGCATAGAAAAAAACCAACATATTACTGGCATGAAGGTGGACACATGAACCAATGGAATGACAGCCCAGAAATGGATGGTTGCATATATGGTTGACTAATGTTTAACAGGGCAACTGAGAATACTTAATGGGGAGAGGATAATCTTTTCAATAAATGATGTTAGGAAAACTGGATATCCAGATGCAAAAAGAATGAAATTGAACCTCTATCTGCACCACTCAAAACTTATCTTGAAATGGACCTTAAACATAGGACCTGAAACCATAAAACTACTAGAACAAAATATAGGGAAAAAACCTTCAGTCAGTCTTGGCCATGATTTTTTGGATACAACGCCAACAGCATGAAAGCAAAAATTAGCTATTGGGACTACATCAAACTAAAACACTTCTGCACAGCAGAATCAACAGTCAACAAAATGAAAAAGTAACCTACAGGATGGGAGGAAATCTTTGTAAACCATATATCTGATAAAGTGGTTGACATCCAAAATATATAAAGAATTCCTGTAACTCAGTAGCAAAATCATCGTCATCATCATCATCATCATCATCATCTTCATCGTTTGGGGGCACCTGGGTAGCTCAGTGGTTGAGCCTCTGCCTTTGGCTCTGGTCATGATCCCGGGGTCCTGGGATCGAGTACTGCATCAGGCTCCCTACAGGAAGCCTGCTTCTCCTTCTGCCTATGTCTCTGCCTCTCTCTGTGTGTCTCTCATGAATAAATAAATTAAATCTTTAAAATAATAATAATCTGGACAACTTGAATAGACATTTTTTCCAAAGAAGACATAGAAATGGCTAACAGGTACATTAAAAGGTACTCAACATCACTAACCATCATGGAAATGCAAATCAAAGACACAATGAGAT